GGGGCCTCACTGGCTCACTGCTTGGCTCATTATTTCCCCAGATCAATAGTTTCACATTTCCATGATGAATCTGGGCAGAAGTTTTGAGTTCTCACACCACAGCTCAGCTCCCAGGTCACAGGAAGCCCTGGCTAAAGTGCAAACCAGCCAGGGGAAGCAGGAATGCTTTTCCCCTGCCAGGCTTGCTGTTACCCTGGTGAAACAGCCACATGCTTCTTCACTGTGTTGCTGGCAGCTCTTCCTCTGCAGCCTCCTCTCTCCTAAGCGAAACTTCTTTTGGAAGAGCTTTGGTTCAGGGCAGGAGCTCTGATGTTAAAGATTGTAACTAGAGCTTTGAAATCAGTGTTGATTCTCTAGGCTAAAAATTCTAGTTAATTTAGTTTTCCTGGTAAAGATGTATTTAAAACAGAATCTTAACTTACATATCCATAAACATATACATTTTTTAATTTACAGCTCAACTAATTGATGCTTTTAACTCATATGTGCACAGAATAGCAAGGCAGGTGTATGTGTAGCTGAGTGGGATATATTATTGCCACCTGCAGTTAGGACTTTGAGAGACAAAACCTCTCAAAGAGCTGTCCAGATCCATGGTGTATACATGAGGTCTTCCATATAGTAAAATGTTTACTCTCCAAAGGAAATATGTGTATGAATGCTGTTCTACAAACTTTCTCCCATGCCACACCCTGCACCAAAGAGCTCTGCAGTTTGTCTCCCCTTTAACCATGCTGCAGGCCTGGTTTTGCCAAAAGTAGAACTTTTCAAATATTGAAAATGTTTCAAAGTCTCAACATCCTTGTTTATAGCCTGATAAAGAGGCTTAAACCAAGGACAAAGAGGTATTTTTGGAAACGACAGTGTACCAGCTAACAAAGAAACAGGCTTATTTCTAGGAAAAGAAAATTCTAAACAAAGTTAGAGAAATAGAGTTCTTTACTCTGAACATAACTATTAACATGCCAGTTACAGGCTTCCTGCCCACTTGTTAATCTGCAAGCCCAAGAGAACAGTGTCATGGTTTAAACCTTAAAGGAATAAAAAATAAGGAATGCTTTTTCTCCCCATATTAAAAAAAAAGTTCCATTTATTTTGATCCCATTACATATTATAGGTAGAATAACTAGTTCTTAGCTTCCATTCTGTAGGTCAATGAAAGGAAGATACAAATTAGAGCAAGAACTAAATGAAGGTAGCAGTCCTAAATGTAAAATGTATTTGTAGAGGGATGTCATTGCTCACTGACTTCCATCTAGAGGTATTTTTGCCTCGTTGCAAGCCTGTGCGAGACAAACCTGAAAGGAAAGAGAAATTACTCAGTACTCAGACACTGGTACAGCCCAATCCATCTGCAGCTCCAGCCTAAAGGACAACTTCGTTTTTCAGAGCAGTGACAACAGCTCTTTTCCCCACTGTGTATTCAGCCAGATGTGATGTAAAGCTCCTGCTTCTCCTTCCCTGCTTTGTGCTGCTTTTTTACCTCTGACATCAGCCAAAATTCAAGACAAGGAGCCAGGGAGAAATAAGGAGTTTCTGTTGCAGCTCAATAGTCCCCTGACTGATGCCAGAGGGACAGCACTGCCTTACAGCTTCAGGTCATGGCTGAGAAAAACACCCAGACTTACTGACAGCTTCTTCATGAGCCCTCGGGCCTTGGGGTTCAGCTGAAGAAAATTCTTCTTGGTCAAATCCTTTGCTGTCAAACGTATGCTCTGTGGAAACAAACTCAAATCTCAGGTTTTCTGTCTGGTCAGCTGCAGCAGCTGAAGGCAGTAAAAAAAGTTAAATTAAAAAATAAAAGAGATTAAGATCTAAGTATAGACAGGCAGAGAACTACATTCAGCTGGAACAGAAGTCCATCTCCCACATTTCCTGCAGTGCATTAATGCATTACTGGCTGTGGTGGTTTTAAACAGCTTGATTTTTGGTGAAGGGGGAAAAATCCATGAGTGAATGATTTTTTTTTTGTGGGTGCACTGGTGTTTGGCCAGCATCAAACCCACTATACTGGCACTACTGCTGCTTTAAGTGTTCTAAAGTGAGTACACAGTGAAACATCCTCCTGTTCTGTTTCAACCAGCTTGAGCAGGTCTCACTTCTGGCTAAGAGTCTCTTAAGGTTCTTTTTAAGCTCAATCAACCCCACGATAAACTGCAGTGGCACAGCTAAAGAGACAAGAGTGGATGAACCGAAGCTGGTGAGGCACCAAGAGGTGCCTGTGCACGCCTCCAGTCCTGCCTGAGCAGGTGGTGGGTCAGCAATTACCTCTCCCCCACCGAGGGGCAGGGTGAGGACGGCGTCCCCGGTGTCAGCAAGGGGGCTGCCGTTGGCAGAGATGGTGTAAACGCGCTCGTTGAGGGCAGGCGTGCGCAGACCTGGCGTCTTGAACACCCTGAAACGACAAGTCAGGAGGGAGTGTTATTTGCTCACAGCACTTCTAGTCCAAGTCTTTCACAAGCTAAAGGTTGTGTTGCAAACCTAAAGCAGATTGTAGCAGAGATGAAAGGGAAATGTATTTCTTTTCTCTGTTAACAAACCTGGAATCAAATCTGGGTGTAACCATGGAGGTGCCTCCCCGAGCACAGATATCAACCATTCTGCCAGTAGCTGGAGTGATAAAGCTGTTTTTGCTTGTTCTGTTAAAGGGAAATAAGCATCTGCTCATGAGATGACCTTTAACAAATATACAGGCACTTATCAAAGGCTTGAAGAAGGTGACCACTAAACCCAGGGGTTATTACTAACCAGTGACCCCAAAACTGGGGACAGCTTGTTCTCACAAGAGGGGCATCTTTCATTCACATCAATTTTTCCCTGTAGCATGGAACAACTCTCCCCCCTGCCACTACTGAGCCAAAGTCCATCCCATCAAAAAGAGAGCTATTTATATTTATACTCTCATTCTCCATTTCTAGAGATGAGACAGAGACATCCCCATTACCTCTTGCTCATGCGCTTCACTCTCGCTGAGGGGGGTCTTCTGGCCACGGGTGGCTTTTTGGTGGATGCCTTCACCTGAAGAACACATCACTCACTAGATCAGTTATTTCCCTCTCCTGGGACAGCTGAGTCCACACAAAATGTTTGGTTCAGTCCCTTTCCATGGCACAAGAGCCCACAACAAATACAATTCAAGCCTTTGGGAACTTCCCCCATCACTAGAATTCTCTGTGAAGAAGTAACTGTTTCAAGTCCCCCTCAGAGCATCCTGGACAGCCCTAGTCATCAGCTCAGTCAGGAATCTGAGAATAATGTCACCCCAGAGAACAGCTATTCACCTTGGCAGTTGTTGGATTGACGTTCTTAGCCTCTGACTCTGAAGGACACTGGCTGTCAACTCTGGATTTCTTTGGCAGAGGAAGCAGTGGAGGCTCTGCTTCCTCAATGGCTTCAACACTCCTTTTGGATTTATCCACTAGAAAGAGAAAGTGTTATCTAAGTAAATTAAACTTTAAATTATTATTTAGCAGGGGAGGAAAACAGCTACAAGCAGTTTCAGCAAAAACGTGCTTCAGAAATCCAAATTCCAATGCAATCTTAATGGTTGACAGAGCACTTTCAGATTATTTTGAACGTTTTAAAGAAATTAAATGTACTGCAGGCACTAGGGATAAAAGTATTTTATAAATATAAAACAAAAGGATTATTTTCCTGATTTAAACATACTGAGGCATGTGAGCAAGAATTGAATCATTATTTACATTAAGTCACCACAACATACTTCCACCTCACCAATCACACCACAGTACTTAAACTCACCTTTTTTGACAATGTCAAACGGGACATTGATAACTCCTGCTGTCAGCTTGTCTATTTCTGCTATTTCCAAGTCTGCCTAAAATTAAAAACATTTACGGCATCACTGGGATTGTTGGCTGCCCAAAGTTCTTGTAAGTCAAAGTTGTAGAGCAAACCCCCAATAATATTCCAACCAGATGAGCTCCACGTTTGCTGTTGTGCTCAAACCAGGCCCTTTCATGCATCTCTACACAGCCAGCTTGGAATTGCTTTCCTCAACTGCAAATTGCATGTGCTCTCAAGGATTTGGCAGTGCAATCTAGCAGATAAGGAAAGAGCAACAGGGACCAGCAGGACCTCATAAATCCCTCGTCTGATAAAACAGGCATCTCGTATTGTTAAATTTTAAAGAAACATTTGTGAAAATATTGATGTAACTGTTTCTCTTGTAATGCTCCAGCATGTTATTCCAGGGTGAGGAGCAGGGTGTGATGGTTCTAGAGAGCTTTATGTTAGTGCTGGAAACCTACCATAGCCACCTTCTCCAGCGCCTTCCCACTTCCTTCTTTAGCTAGAAAGGAAATATTTCAGAAAAATCAGGACACGTCCGAGACAGCTCACACAGCACAGCAGGGCTGTCACCACCGGCACGCAAACCCCAGCACAAACCAGTTTCCAGCCCTAGAGAACAGGAGCGGCACCCCGGACAGCCCGTGGGATGCTTCCCTGGGGCTTCCAGGCACGGCAGATCTCTTATTGGGGTTTATTATCCAAGGGGGAACGCGCGCCCCCAGCCCAGCACCTCCCGACCCCGCTCCGCACCGTAGTACTCGAGCCAGTTCATCTGGCGGAGCTCCACCGGCAGCCGCAGGATCGCCATATCGTACAGGTTCTCGATCTCCTTCACCAGGCACTCCCCGTCCGCCCGCAGCCGCTCCAGCCTCCGGTTCACTGCGAGGACACGCGCCGTTAGCCCGGGGCCGCTCTCCTTCCCGCTCCCGTTGTGCTTTCCCCTCCTTCTCCCTCTCCCGCTCCTACCTTCGCGGTCGAAGTCCTTGAGGAAGGCCGCCAGTTTCCTGCTGCGGGAGCTCGAGCCGCCCTTCTTCCTGGCGGGCGCCATGGCGGGCTCCGTGAGGGCCGGGCCGCGTTCGAACCAACCGCCACCCTAGCCCGCCAATGGCGGCGCGGCGCGCCCCGATGACGCCACCGCTGGCGCGGGCCGATGACGCGGCGGTAGCGCCGCCGGGCGCGGGGACCATGATGGCGGCGGCGGTGGCCGCACTGCGGGCCTGGGTGGAGGAGGCGGCGCGGGCGGAGGAGACGGCGCGGGCGGCTCTGACAGCCTCGACCCCGCTACTGGGCGCGCTGGCCGCGCTGGCGGCGCAGATGCGGGCGGCGCGGCGGCTGCCGTGGGACGCGACGCCGCTCGGCGCCTTCCCGGAGCTGCGGGCGCGGCTGTGGCAGAAGCAGCGCGGCGCGGCCGAGGCGCTGCTGGAGCAGCTTGGCGGGCGGCGGTGAGGAGGCGGCCGGGGCCGGGCGGGCAGGGAGCGAGGGCCTGGCTGACCCCGCTGTGCCGGCAGGGAGGAGCTCCGGGCCGTGCGGGACGCCGTGGGGGCCGCCGGCACCGCCGTGCTGCGGCTGTACGAGGAGCGGGGCCCGACCGAACTGGGGCTGCCGGGGGTTCTGCGGCGTGGTCCGCGCTGCCCCTCGCTGGCCGACGTGTTGGAGGGGCTGCAGAACGTGGAACGCTACTACCGGCACCTGTATCCTGCTGGGGGTGTCAGGGCAGCTCTGGGGGGTTGTTTTCTCCTTGTTGTCCTTATCGGCCACGAAGGTATTTGGAGAGCAAACTGCTCCTGCAGCGCCTCAGCTTGGACAGCCTGGCAGACGTGGAAGCCCTCCCGCAGTCCTGGGAGAGGATTTTGGAGCGCTACAAAGAAGATGACGTGGTTCAAGGTAGTTCTGTGTAGAAAGAGCCGAGCGGTGTTTGCCAGGGCTCCGTGCTGCTGTCCCCTGGGGCCAGGCTCCGCCGTGCTGGCTGTGCTGGTCCCAGCAGCACGGGGTGACCCTGCTCAGGTGATCTTTGTGACCTGCTCTGAGATCTTGGTCAGCTTCAGTTGAAAGTACCATCACATCTGGGCACAGCTGGAAGCAACATCCTCCCACAGAGTGTAGTGAGGGCTCGGTGACCTGTTCCACTGCTCAGTCAGTTTTACCCATACTTGATTTTATTGCCTTTAAAACAAGTTTTTGGGAGTACAGAACGTAAAGCATGTTGAGCTGACAGGGTTGTTGTTTTCTCTGTGTCTCAGACACGTGCCTGAAGGTCTCGCTGTTTGTGGAGAACCATTGCGAGGTGGGCTGCTCACCTGGCTCCTGACAGGGACTCCTGCTTCTGGCGTGTTCTGCGATGCTGCAAGGGGCATGGAGGAATTGAGGGAGCTCTCCTGGTGCTTTTTGGAAGCTGAACAATTTGAGTCTTGGCCTCAACATAAAATACTTGAACTGTGCCGTTTTCAAGTGGAAATGGCCTTGGTCTCTGAAGAAGAACCTGAGCTGAAAAAGCCATGAGGATAGAAGGGAGTCATCTCCAGCTGTGGAACTTACAGTTTCTTTCTCCTGACATAGATGCTTTGTATCATGGAAAAAATGTTGATACTTACACGAGGTGTTGCAGATGTGTGAGTGTAACAGTCCTTCAGGCTGGTGCTATGAAAGATATATGGGCTCTGTCCTTAGAAATAAAGAAAATATGTCAGATTAGGGTTTAGAAACAGCAGTCACCTCATGTCCTTGAGCAGCATTTGCATTCATCCCATCTGGGCGTGGAGGAGGAAGGAAGCAAATCTGGCTTGAAAATGTAATGCATGGATGCCTGAGTTCTGACATGGGCAGTTTTCAAGGGTGTTGCAATACACTGCTCTGATACCACTGAAATCAGTCATAAAAGTCCCTGGTGACAGTTCAGTGACACCTTTTGTGGGCCATGGCACTGATCCTCCGAACATTCCTGGGAAGCAGTGGCGTGTTTGTCTCTAAATGAAATTATGTATTTGGTAAGGAGCTGCAGTTTCTCGGAGAAAAGCTAATAAAGAATTGCACCGGACACGTTGTGGGTGTGTTTGTGCTCGCATTTGTGTCTCCAACCCTGGGTGTCCCTGCGGCCACCTGAGGGCACTGCATGACCCACCAGCAGCACTGCTGGGGGGTGCCAAGGGTGGGAAAGTGCTGCCTCGGGGCCAGGGCTGCCGGTGCTCCCATCAGGGACAGGGAGTTCTAATTGCAGCTCTTCACACGCAGTTCTAATTGCAGGGAAAACCTTGTTGGTCTGGTGGGGGCTCACGTGACTGTACAGCCTTGTGCTCCTTACACAGGGTTTGGAGCATGGGTGATGGCTCAGGGTAAATCGGGGGTGTCACCCTTGCTCAGGCCTTGTTGTATCATCGTCACAAACCAGTAGATCTTGGTGAGCTTGGATGCAGAATTGTTTTTGTGTGCACTCTGTACAACACTTCAGCACCCCTCTTCTGTCAGCTTCTCTTCAGGACAGCTGCACAATGAACAAATGGATTTAAATTCTGGAAGATGTTCAGCACAGTTCAGTGGTGGCCCTTCTGCTTCTCCCAGATGCTTGGCCCCTGATGTCTGTCTTTGTGCTAACAACAGCCCTGCTAAAAGTGCTGAGGGAGGTATCTGCATTGAAAGTGGCCATGCCCTGACTGTGACTGAAATGGGGTGAAGGAGGTGCTCATTGAAGTTTTGGTGTGATTAATTGCTCTGTGCTGTTCCTGTTGGATGGGCCATGTCATCAGCTGCATTTGTCTGCAGCGGGGTGTGGGCGAGTCTGTGCCTCAGAGCACTCTAATTGGGATCAGCTGTGGACTTGTTCCATTGCAGAGCTGGGTGTCCTGTCAGGATGGCTGCCAGGGACCCCACGGTTCCTCGTGTGTTCAGGACTCCCTTCAGCTGCCATTTGCCTAGGAGTCATTGGGGGCTCGAGGCATGAGCAGAGCCAGGGTTGCCATTTAGCCTGGCAGTGTCACACTTGCCAGCAGGCGGGTGGAAAGGCCACTCCTGCTCCTCCTTGCCTGGCAGCCTGCACAGCTGAGTCAGACACCTGCTCACAGCCCAGGGATGTCTGTGGTGCCAGATCTCAGCACCTTCCTGAGGACCAGGACAGGAGGGAGGTGCGTGAGAGCAGCAGCTGCTGCTCCAGCTGCCTGGGGAGCCAAATGCAGGGTCAAGGTGATGCCTTTTCCTTGGTCCTAAAGTTAAGAGCCAGACACAGTTGTGATAAATATAACATTGGATAAAAATTCGTGAAAGAGAATAAAGAATTATATGTTATATTTGTAATACTGTAAAGATGCAAAATGTAAAATAATCCAGAGATACCTTCCCGAGTCGGGCAGTAACGACCGGCAGCAACGCTTATCAACACAAAATAAAAAGCAGGACACAAGCAATCAAACCAGACAATGAGAGTGGCTCCGTCGAGATATCCATCTCCTCCACACCCAAACTGGCCACTCCATTCCGGGAAATGCAATCGGAGGACACTCAGAGCCTCTCACATGTGAAAGGACTCTGCTCCACCGACCATTGACTCAGCTCAACGGATCCGGGAAGTCTATTCAAACTCTTTTGTTGGACGGTGCTTACTCCGGATTTTGCCCCAGGATACGAAAACCCCTATAAGAACCCCGGACTGCAGTACCTACTTCGTGGATTTGGGTAAATCTGTACCTCTGGGTATAGACGTCTCCCTGTCCACCCAGCGCTGCGCTGATTTATTTTATTGTGGTTTTTTTCTCTCGTTGTTTGTGATTGAAATTGTTTTATAATAAATCGCTTTTTTATATTAACCCTATTTTGCCATTGCATTTATAACACAGTTAAGGGATAAAAGGTTTTTTCCTCTTGGTATTTAATAAGGATCCTTATGGTGCACCAATTCATCAAGGTGGAGTATGCTGAAATGTACACCCAGCAGACTGCATATACAATTTTACAGATTTTGCAAATTAGTATATCTAATAAAGATGCTTTAATGAGAGGCTTGAATGAGCAGTGTGTTATTTTCTCACCTTGAGGTATTCCATCTTGAATGGGCTTAATCCTAATTTACAGGATTTATTTTAGAGGGCCTTTGGTTTTTCAAGATAGCATAGGGCTTTCCGGCTTTCAGCTGCAAGGCCTTTAGTATGTTTGGTTTTCTGGCTTAGCAGAATACCAGGACTATGCTAAATTATCAGATTTAAGGAATTACACATATGTGTACTAAGAGCACTGAGAATTCATAAAAGGCATATAAAAGAAAGGCAAAAAATAAGGGACTCCTGTGCCCTATCTTAGGCTCTGAGCCCAAGTGGTAAAATACATGTAACCATAAAAATAAACCCAAGTACCTTAATTTTTGGAGTAGAGCTCTTAAAGTATTCTTGCATGGAGATCTGTCTTTGAGGAATGCAATAAATTGCAGTTAGCAGCTGGAGCTACCTTGTTAAAGGAAATTTGTCAGGAAACACAAAGCTCACACTTTGACTTTCAGCTTTACCTCCTGCTAACTCCATTGAAAAACAGTTATTCTTCACTTATAGGAAAAGCACAAACTAAATTCAGTTACTAAATTCAAATGCCCACAAACATTTATAAGGAGCACCTGACTCGTATATGGCTGCTTTGTTTCCTCCCACAGGCATGAGCACTGGCTCCTGGTGCAGCGGGGCCTTTGCAGTTCTGCTTAGAAATGGGGACCTGCTGTTGGCAACACCAGACTTCCAAAACAAACTCAAAAGCTTTGCTTCAGCATAAGCTCATGGATTTGAAACAGATTTCAAAACTGGGTGTATTACAAGAGTCCACAGTTATGGAAAAGACAAAGGATTTGGCACCTGAACTGAAGTGTAAAGTGACTCGGAGGCAGAAATATGTAATAAAAAGCTTTGTGATTAATTTACTAAACCAAGCATGGGTTTCACAAGTCCCTATGGTTTTTGCACTTATTCTTTGAGGCTTTCATCTTGGCCTGAAGCAGAACTCCTTTGTGACTTTGCTGAGGGGCTGCCTGAGTACTTATCTGCTCTGAAATACAGCAGACATTCTTCACTACCTGTTAGCTGCCTTTTTTGCTCTGTTCCCCAATCCTGGCTCAATATTTCTCTAGTGCTTGGGACTTTTTCACAGCTTTTGCCCTGTTGAGCTCCAAGGAGGGGCAGATTCTGTGGATCTGATGGGTGTGTGGTGAGTGGGGACACATCTGGCCTGCAGCAGTGATGAGTTTCCCATGTGGGACATGCTCAGCACACAGCCCTTGTCTGCCCTTGCAAGGACAGGCACGAGCCTGGTGAGCTCTTTGCCAATGTGGACTGGCCCCAACCCTCCCCAGACCCTCTAGGGCTGCCTGTACTGAATGTGGACAGAGCCTGCCCGTCCTGCAGAGGTTTCATTTTAACCCTCCCTTCCTGCTTTTCCCCACAACCCTTTCCCTCCTCCCTCCTCCTGTGGACACAGATATCTGCAGTAGGTGTCTCCTGAACTTGCTTGAGCTCCCTGTCCCAAGCATCTTCCCGACAAATTCTTTCCAGATGTCCGGGAACTTTTATGTTTAGCAGTTTTCTTCAAGTTATTCATTCATTCTCTTAAAGAGCAAAACTATTTCCCAGTATTATTTGAAAATTCAGACTGATCATGGCTTCCCAAGAGCTGCTTGTGCCTCCCAGTGAAAAGTTTTAGGTACCACTGCAGCCTTCCACCCCTGAATTAGAGCACAACAGATATCCATAAATAGCACAGAAGTTTATTTTCCATAGCTGACAGCTCTAGGGCTGTTTATGGACTCTTGAAAACACTCCATGCTACATTTATACCCAGCCAAGTGTCAGGTTGTTGGCTTGGACTTTCCCAGCTACAGCAGCTTGGAGAAATTAGGAGATCTGTCCAGTGTTCCTCTGACTGGGGCCAACAATGGAAAGTAAGTGGCTCTGCCCATCCTCTCATCTAGTTTCCAGCTTAACTTTGTTTTTGGGGAGATGACTGTTCCTTCTAAAGGGATCTGACTCCCTTTGGGGAGATGCAGGGCACGTGGTCAGTGGCTCCTGCGCTGTCTGGGTGAGCTGTGTCCTGTCCTGACTGTTGGGAGTGTGCTGCCCTAGGGCAGCTCTGGGGACACGGGCTGTCTGCCACCCCAGAGCCAAATGAGACGGAATGTAGGATTGAAGCAATGCCTGAGCCACTCTGCCTCTCCAGGACAGGCTCTGGCTTGTCTGGAAGTCACATCTTGTGGCTTCTCACGTGTGTCCAGTGGCTTTTCATCCTTGCCCTGCACTCCCGTGTGGGGCTTGTAGCAGGTTTTGGCTGTTGGAAAGAAGCTTTTGGGCTGTTCAGTGGAATTTGGGAAATTCCTGTCTTTTTTCTTGAATTTTTCTTGAATTTTGCTTTGGGATCTACCTCACATGGTACATGGTGATTGCAAAATGCCTGAGGTGGGAGAGAGACTGGACCTTCCCTGGGGTCAGATTCTTGTTATGGAACAGTTCTGTGCTGTTGGCACCCCGGGGTCCAGGAGTGGGGATATTCTGGAAGGATGAACCTGCCTTGTTTTCCTGTACTGCCAACATATCAGACCACACACAAATATTAAGCATCTATTTAATTTCCCCTCTGTCCCCCAGCATACCACAGCTGCCTCCTTCACCAGAGCTGACATGGGATGGCTCCCTGCTCTCTCTGGTCCTTCTCTCCACAGCCCAGACAGTCTCTAGGCTGCTTGGGG